CTTGAGACTTTTGTCAATCTGAGTGGGTTTCAGCTGGAACCAAGCCCCCACTAACGTTGAACCAACTTTTATTAGAATAGCTGGATTCAAGTGTCATTGACAGTTTATTAACCATACAGACATGGGCCTTCTTGTTAATCTGTGACACAGACACTGAGGGGGAGGAATAGCATAGCATAGAGTTGAAGAAATTTGTTTTTAAATAATGCTCTTGTTGCTGTGAGTATTCTATAGACTAAACAATCATGTCACAATTAGCTTTGAAATCAACAGAATACATCAGCACAGCAGAGCAAACTAAAATCAGCCTCAGCGTGACCATTAGATATTAATAAATGTACTGTTGCACAAAGAGGTTAGCAAACATTCTGAGAAAAAAAAACTATTTTTTTCAGACCCAAAGCCGACTGTTTTCTTCTGTGCAGAATTACGTACTCAGTAGTAGTCATGGATTTAAATTGAGCTACTAGGAAAACCTGTGTGAATGGTTATTGCTCCATGTGTGCAGTCAAATAGTTCTCACTACATTTCAGCATGCTGGCTAAACTGCTGACCGCAGGGAGAGTAGCTGGTGCAGTGAGTTAGCACACAGTCCTTTCACCCTCACAAGGTGGGTTTTAATCCATTTGAGATTGACAGGAAGAATGTGTCTCCCCTCTTTTTTCTCTCTCTCTCTCTCCATTTCTCTCTGTTGGCTGATATCACCACTGAAAGGCATGCCATCAAACTACTCCACTGTTCAGCAATATGATGCCAGTTTGAATATTTTTACAGTTGTATGTTTTCCTGATTTCCAGTTATTAATCTTATAAATAATTTCTGAAGCAAACAGTGTGCAGCATTAAAGATTATATTAGTGCTGAAGAATGAAAGATTTTCGTACATTCTCTAAATAGGTTTAGCTTCTTGAGATGTGATCAGAGAACAAAAAGTTTAATTTGAAGAAGCAGACTGAGCTCAACCTTGACATTTAACTGAGACTATTATTAGAGTCAGTGAAGGATAAATCATCGGGTCCTCAGCACCATGGATAGTGGCTTAAATGAACCAAAAGAAAATGGAAAAAAAAACTTGCAGTTGTTGATCTGGATTGTTATATTGAGAGTTTAACTCTACAAGACATAAAATAAATTTTCAACAGTAGCTTAGCAAATTTGGAGGACAGGGCTGAAAATTGAACTCCTGGATTTGGCTTGCCATACACACGGTTTATCCAAACACTAAAGAAATTGGTAGGCTTGGCTCAGGTGGCCCGTTGAATTCAGGTGATTGCTTTTTTGTCACTATGACCTGTGTTCAATTCCTAGCCCCATCTTAATTGATAAGCATCACATGAGAATTGAGTTGATGATTTTCAACCTGGGTCGTATTGATAACACACAATCATACAGAAAACTGACAATACATATTATCTACAATGGATACAGCCCACTTATTACTTTCTTCTGACCCTTGTGTCTGAATGGTAAGATACATTGGTGTTTGTCCCCTCAAAAAGATTCCATCAATATTATGACCTTGGAGCCACATTTTTTTGAATTGAATTTTTTTTGAATTGAATCACTAATATGCAGTTAACTTTTATTTTACGTATCTCAAGGCTTGAAATGCGGTGCCAAACTGGGATAAAATGGTGCTGTCACATTACAAGGCTCTACATTAGGGGCTTTTCCATTGCTTCTGGACTTCCAGGGGACACTTGTGGAGAAGCGACCTTATATACACATGTGAACATTTAACGTAATCACACAAGTATCCTCATCATTTCAGAAGCTTACACTTGCACGAAACTTCATTCGAAATTATTTTTATCCCCACTACCCAAATAATAATAACAGGAGGACCAGAGGTAGCCTCCATATTGTGCAATTTTGCTCCTGTTTTTTTCCCAGTTCAATTACTGTTATTTGGGTAGCAAAGATCACAGAAATACATTCCTAGTGATGTTTTTTGCATGCATGTGTGTATGTCTGTTGTCATCACATTGCTTACATGTCGGCACCAAACATCATTGGATCAGGCGACTCTGACATTGACCTTGTTAATCACTGAGTCAGATCTCCTACATGCAGAAGCAACAGGAGATCCAACCCTGAATAACTTTCTCCCATATTCAATGCCTGAAATTTGGACATTTTTATTGCAAGCTGCTTTCAGAAGCAGGTGTGACTCTGGAGATAATGATTTAAAAGCTGTATTAGAGGAAGGACAATTTAATGACTGCTTTTATTTAACCATTTGAAGTATTGGTTATATGGTTGGTGTCATTTTTCTAGATACCATTCCTCAGCTTTCATTACAGATGTCTACAATAGGTTTTCCCAAGCAGTGAAACAAAAGCAACGTGTAATAAAAAATGGACATTTTTCAGCTGCTGAATTTGGGAAAACCTTGTTCAGAGTTGCTTGTTCATACAGGAGATCCGACTCCGGAATCAAAAGGATCAATGCTGAAGTGACCAGAAACAATGATGTTCTTTGCATGTGTTAGTGTCTGATGTCAACAAGGAAGTAGTGTGGAAGGCAACAGTCAGAAATCACAGGCTCAATAAAACTGGTTTGTACTAAAATAGCCAAATTATTCAACACAAAATGAATCACCATCCCAATCCTGAAGTTTTCCTCCCTCTCTGCTGTTTAACAATGGCAGTACAATGTTTAGATACATACCATGATGGTATGCATTTCCAGGTCTCCTTTTCTATAAATTCCTATAATTAACACAGGATAAAATAAGCCCATGTGTGCAAACCATTAAACTAGATTTGACAAATAAATGATTTCAGCTTTCAAAGAGAACTGTGGAAGGATGCTTAGAAACGTTATATATTCAACAGAAGTGTTCAATTAATTATGAGTGAATACCATCAGACAGGAAGAGCAAATCTAGCTGGATGTAACATGTTTGATGCTTTCTCTTTATTGTGTAATACATTGCAGAAGACAGATGATGTGACTGGCATCATTGTAAGGAGATGCTACTCCAGGTATACAGAGTGCTGGTCAGACCTCATTTGGAGTACTCTGTTCAGTTTAGGCATCCATAGAATCATCAAATCTTAGAGCACAGAAGGAGACCATTTGGCCCATCATGCTTGTGCCAGCTCTTTGAAAAAGCTAACCAATTAGTCCTGCTCTTTCCCCATAGCCTTGCAAATGTTTCCTTTTCAAGTGTATATCCAATTCCCTTTTGAAATGTATTCTTGAATCTTCTTTCAGAATGATAGGAGCATTCATTACACAGTAGTAGCCCTGGATGGTGTCCAGCAACAGTTTACTCAATTAATATCTGGGCTCAAGGATCTGCTGATGATGAGAGGATGGGTAGCCTGGGGATTCTTAAAGCAGGGGCGATTACGAGGTGATTTGATCGAGACATTTAAAATAATGAAAGGAATTGACAGGTTAGAGAGGGACAACTTCACTCCGGTAGAAGGAACAATTATAAGGGGGCATAGCCTTAAATAGAGAACAAAGATGGTTAAAACTAAGGTCTGGAAACATTTCTTCATATAGAAGGTGGTGAAGATGTGGAGCACTCTGTCCCAGAATGCTGTAGCTGCTGAATCAATAGAGATGTTTAAAAGAGAGATAGACGTGGGTGGGTAGAGATATTAAAAGGGGTTTGGGGATAAAAAGATATGCTACGATTGGCGAAACAGGCATTGCCTCCTGATCCTGTTTTCTTATATTGTAATATTCTTACTGGCTGCTTGCCCCCATAATGCAAATCTCAGTTATAAAAGTTTCATTCAGTAGTAAATGTTGATCACCAGTTAGTAGGAAAATAATCAATTGTCATAGATGCTTGTTACTGTTAAATTAAACTTACAGGTCAAATACCTATAGATTTGCATTGGTCAAAGTGTATGCAGAGTCCTGTAGCTCAGTGGTTAGAGCACTCGCTTTGCAAACGAGACCTGAGTTCAATTCCAGGCAGGGCGAAACCTTGGGCAAGTTTCCTTACTCCACACGCCTAATAATAATCCCTCCAAAAAACAAAAACAATAATAAATTGGTCATTTTCAATCTACGACTCTTTGTGGGACATTGCTGTGTGCAATTGGCTGCCGCGTTCGCCCACAAATATACAGTCAATTCACTTTACAGTGTGTTCTGTGAAGCGTTTTGGGACGTCCTCCCGACGTGAAAAGCGCTATATCAAATGCAAGGATTATGTGTTAAAATCTGTAGTATTGTGTAAACTGCAGCTTTGTCATCCTGTGACTTTATGTTCTCTGCGGTGTAACGACAGCATATAAACCACATTGGGGACTAATTTACAAAAGGTGTGGGAAGTGTTAAATTATGACCTGTTTTGCCATTTAGCTTATTACAAAAACTGCTATTTATGATTTCAAAAAGTCGTCAAAGAGTTAAAAAGGCAAGAGAGCAAAAGTGATGGCTAAATGAGAATCCTTTTAGCATGGTTAAAATATTCAGCAAAAGATTACAATGATGTACTAGTTAATAATTTTAAATTGTTGTGAATATTCTGGGAAAATTTGTTATAACAAAGCCCCTCTCGGTCTAATAGCTCTGAGGCCATACAATGAGTGAAGCGCTTAGAAAATGACTGACTTGTAGGTTATCAGGTCACTGCTGACGTCACTTCCTAGGCACTGTGCACAGAAAGTACTGCTTATGTTATTTCCTGAAGGCTGTCCATGAAGCACCGCTGACAACATTTCCTGCCCATAGCGCACATTTTGGCACCTTGGGACATCCTACCGACATAAAATATGCTATATAAATTTGTATTGTATGTGCAGCCCGCAGAAACTGATATCAGCAATGCTTCCACGATAATCTGCAAGTTGGCCATTTTGTAGTGCTGGAAGCTGGTGTATTTCTAGATAGTGCAGAACCAAAGGACACCAGTGCTGTAACTGAGGCAGCGTTATACTGAAGGATATTATAACAGAGTTCCCCTGTTTCTTGATACTTGATATTTTTTCCCTCCTTACTCTGTCTAAAATCAATAAACTTTTTTTTCCTTAGCCGATCAACGACGTATCCCTACTCAGAAGCCCAAATGTATAGCCAGAACACGGGGGGAACATATTTTGATTCCCAAGGGAACTCTGCCCAGGTGACAACTGTGGTCTCATCTCACAACATGGTGGGTGCTGGTGGCATTCCAATGGGCGTCACAGGTGGTCAGATCATCAGCAGCTCAGGGGGTGCCTATCTAATAGGTGGCTCAATGGATGGATCCAATCACCCTATCAGCCACACAACACGTGCCTCTTCTGCCACTGTAAGTACCTTTTAGATCAAAGCTATTTGGCTTCCTATTCAATTCAGGTATGAAACTGTGTTGAAGTGTTGTTAAGATTCTTAAGAAATTGTGATCCCCAATTTGAGTTGTTCAAATTCAGGTATTAATATGTTTGAAAGAAGCAGTTAATTGTTTCTCAATATAAAAATTGACCTAGGAAATCCATTTTTTATTAAGTGAGTAGATGGATTTTTTTAAAATTCTGGTTTGAAAACTACAGAGCAAAATTCCTACTCCTGACATGAAGTTTATACAATGGTATCAAATTCTGGTTTGAAAACTACAGAGCAAAATTCCTACTCCTGACATGAAGTTTATACAATGGTATCAAATTTGTGGTAAAAAGCTATCATTAATTCTTCACAATTTAAAATTATTACATGCATTATACCTGCCTGGCAGTGTCCTGCCCCGATCTTTGCCAAGTGATACCATTGGCAACCGAATAGCCCAGATGTGATCCATTTTAGCATGAAAGCTGGCTGGTGTATTGGAAGCAAGTAGGTCAGATGCAATGATGCATAGTGGTTGGGGTCCACGGTGCAACTATGTTGTGATCACATTTTGTGCTATAAAGAAGCGTGCTACAAAAAATAACTCCACTAGAAAAAAATAACAGAGTGGCACTGTAATGTTTTTGTAAAGTGTATAAAAAGTGTAAAGTGTACTGTAAAGTAAATTGACTGTATATTTGTGGGCAAAACACGGCAGCCAATTGCGCACAGCAGAGTCCCACAAACAGTCATGGATTGAGTAACCAAATTATTATTTAGTTTATTTTTTTTTCTTGAGGGATTATTATCGGCATTTGGAATAAGGAACCTTGCCCAAGGTTTCGCCCTGCCGGGAAAAGTGGGACTATTATAAAAGAGGTTGGGACTCTAGCTGAATGTATTCTGAATAAATTCTGAATTTATTCTGCAATAAATCAAATATGCAAGAATACTTAGAATTGCCCAGTCTATGTCACATGTGCAATTCAACTCTTGGCAAGTATTTTAAATGTGTTAATCACCAACAACAGTGAGCTTTTTGCTTTGTGTTTATCGTGAAAAATCCTATCATAATCCTATCATAATCAAAAGAAAAAAGTCACACATTCAACTTTCTAAGATGTAAAGCTCCCAATGCATCTGAATCAGGTTTTATGTAGATATGGTGCCCACTGATTATATCATTTATAGTAACTAGACTCACATATTTCTCCAGGCCGGATTAATGGAAGAAATTAATGATGCTCTTAACTGACATTTTTAAGAGATTGCACATCCTGGTAGATATGTGGGACATACTTCATGAATCACCTAATTAGGGTCAGTTGACTGCATTAAAAGATGTCTGGATTAATATCTGTTGAGAAAGGGGGGAGGGGTCAAAGATTTATAAGCAATAGTAACCTCACTGTTTAATTACCGTGGAGTAGGATAGGGCGTACAGGAACCTTGAATTTCAGGCATCTATTAATTCAAGGGAGGAATGACAGTATGGTGCAGTGCAGCCCCATTATAACACACTTTGTTGGCATTAGCTTATAATATGAATGTGGTTCGGATCCCATTTGCTTGAGGGCAGCCAGCTAGCTCACTTTCTATCCTAAAAATGGCTATCTTCTGTGTCATCCAGTAGCCATAGTTTCACTTCCTGCATTGCGCAGGACATAGAAGCGTGACCTGATGACCCAGAAGTTGGCCAAATTTTAGTGCGGGAGCTGAGCGCAGGAAGCGGGCTGGCCGACTGCACGCAGATGTATTGAAAACAGCTGGTGTAGACGTGTTGTTGGTTAGGTTTTTACAGATCCTAAACACCACATTATAACGAGCTCTACTGTATTAATTTTAATTGTGTAGAACTCTACTTATCTAGATAGGATTGTCCTCCCCATTGGTGCTTTTCAGGATGTGTCAGCACTTGCAAGTATGTTTTGGATTACTGCAGATATGTTTTGCCTTGCCCCTGCAGATGCCACCCTCCCCAAAAAATACAACGGTACCTTTTTTATTGCCCTCAGAAAATTGGAGCGATGAATAGACTAGATCATAAACCCAGAAATTTGTAGCCTCAAATGTGTTGCTCACTCGACAGAGCTTTCCAAATGTTATAATTGTCAGTGAGCTGCGGAAGGAATGGCCTGACTGACCATTTCATTATTTAGTTCTTATTTAGAGTTTCCTTAATTTCTTATTAATTGTTAATGGGTCTTCAACGACATAGATGAGGACCTGGTTAATATTTTAAAATATGCATAAATGCTTTAGCTGCACCTGTGGACTGAAGCACAAAAAATGTGGTTGTCCAGATGTACATAAAGGATTGAGGAGTCTAATCTCTGTAAATTGAGGAAAAAAACACTTTTTGTAATAATATAATTTATCCAGATGATTGCAAATAATAATAATCCTTGCATTTGCTATAGTGCCTTATGACATCTTCGAGGCATCTCAAAGCGCTTCACAGAATATACTGTGAAGTTAACTAACTGTGTATTTGGTGAACCGGGCAGCCAATTGCGCACAGCAGTGTTCCCCAAACAGTCGTGGATAACATTCAAACAATCTTGGTCAAATAAGCCAAAGTGTGAGTGAGATCACAGATTGATTTTTAGGTTGATAAGTATGAGGCGGTGCATATTGAAAGAAGAAACGGTGAACATGTGTATGACAGGTAATAGTAACAGATCTCAAGGAAGAAAAAGATTGGATATGATTATTAATTACTTACAGAAAATTTTCAAAGAATATGAAGCTGGTATCAACAAAGCAAGTCAAAGAGTAGGTGAAAGGCACTTTTTGAGCCTCGTTAGATATCTGGCGAGACACAATTAGAATATTTTTTGGTACTTTAGTTTCAAAAGCGTTTTCAAGATTTGGGAAGATGAAAAGAGCAGCTGGGCGATTCTGGGATTTAAATAAAAATAATAATCCTTGCATTTGACTTTGCACCTTATCACATCTTCGAGATGTATCACACCGTTTCACAGAATATACTGTAAAGTTATGTGGGAAGACTTGCAGAACTGAACTTGTTTTAATTGGAAACTAATTGGGGACGATTTCATCTAAGTCTTTAAAATGATACATTATTGATGATGTAGATTAGATGTAGTGGAGCCCCACTTTAACGCGCTTTATAATGCGGGTTCAGCGTGAACTCCATTTATTATTCATGTGCACAATGTACCTGCTTGCTTCCCGAACGTTGACTGGGCTTTCAAACTAAAATGGCAGATGTCCCTCTGGGTTATTAGGTTGCTGCCGACGTCACTTCCTGCTTCACTGCACATCTGCCAAGCAGGAGATGACATTGGTGGCCTAATGCCACGGAAGCTGCCATTTTAGCTTCTCATGCCAATAAAATGGCTGATTTCCAGAAGTTTTCCAACCTCTTCCTGCTTTGTGCATACACAGAAAATAGAAAATGATGGTGGCAATAACCCAAATATCCGGAGGTCAGGTACTGTTTTTTTTTTTAGCATGGGAACAGCCCAGCACATGTGGTGAGAACCAACCCTCTGCCCACGTACTCAGTCAAACCCACTATTGCGCCTCCCTATAAAACAGGTTTGTGGATCCCAAACATCACCTTATAACAAGGCTCCACTGTGTAAGCCACAATTAGTCCTGGATTGTGAAAGTAGAGAACAGAGATTTAAAATTAAAAAGCATCAAGCAAGCCTTGAGATTAGATTTTGTTTCCCCACAGACTAGTGGATAAATAGAGTGGACTCTAATAAAAGCATTGGTTTGTTTATGTAATGAAACCTGGATAAGTCTAATCTTGGTGTCAGGAATATAAGGTTAAGCACAGACTGATATTAACAGCAGTCTGAGGAGGTAGTTGAATGGGGTATAATAGTTGAAGTAAATTAATTGGAGAATATTTTTGTTCATTACCATAGGGGATCAGCAGGTATCAATGCAGAATGTTCCTCCAGGAGACTAGGTGGTGTGGAATCCATTGTAGTATAGGCTTTGCAGAGCCTGGCATTTTCTTATTACATCCTTTCTTATATTCTTGTTCTGTGAAGTGTGATTATTCCTGTAATGCTGGAAGTATAACACTTGTTTTGTGAGATGCAAGTGATCAGAGTATTATCATGTTAAATGTGGTATTAGGTTTAATATCCTAAAATTTTCACTTGAATCACCTTCAAGAAGAAATCGATGAGGAATTTCAGAGCTTCACAATCTTAAATTTTATTGGGGATTATTTGCCTCCACAGGTATATAAATTACATTTGGTGAATTGGAAAAAAGAGGCTGGTTCGGCTAACTGACCTTCTCTCATTCTATACAAGTCCTATCTGCCTGTTCAGATTTCTAAAGATCCCATGGCACTATTCAAAAAAAGAATTATTTGCATGGTGTCCTGACCAACAGGCTCCTCAAATAAAATTGGTCACTCACTTAAAATTAAAAAAAAGTTCACAATATGTCTTGTGAAGAAAGGTGCAATATCAAGTGCAAGGAATAGTCCAGCAAAAAGTGGAAAGAGTTGGGGGAGAAATGTAGAGCAGATTAAGCCGGTATTGGAGTGCATGTGTGTAAATGCACGGAGCGTGACCAATAAGCTTGGTGAGCTGCGGTTCAAGTTGCCACATGGGGCTATGATGTAGTGGCAATTACGGAGACTTGACTCAAGCAAGGACAGGAATGGGAGCTGAATATTCCTGGCTACAACCTATTCAGGAGGGATAGGGAAAAGAAAAAAGGAGGAGGGGTAGCAATACTCATTAGGGACACTGTCACGGTCCTGGAAAAAGACGATGTGTTAGAGGGGCCAAAAACTGAATCTATTTGGTTAGAGTTATGGAGCAGAAAAGGAGCTGTTACTCTGTTAGGTATTTACTCTCCAAATAGTGGGAAGGAGATAGATGAGCAAATCTGCAAGCAGATTTCGGAGAGATGCAAAATCAATAGAATAGTGATAATGGGGGACTTCAATTATCCTAACATAGATTGGGAAACGTACAGTATAAAGGG